GTATTTATTTATTTCTCCAAGTTATGTTTTTGTGTGCACTGAGGAGTCTAAAAAAGGCGTTTGTTAAATCATTTTAAGATTGGCTTTGATCAATGTTTGATAAATGAATTCTTCATATATGATAAATGAGAGGTAACATTTTATTTATGGTATTATTTCCACATATTTCTCTCCATTCTTCATTCTGCCCCAGAGCAGGGTTATTATGGTAATCTAAAACTAAAACTGGGCTTGTGTAAGCATGAAAGAGGACACAAGTTGACTACCATAAGTTTTAAACTTTATGGCCATACAAAATTCAGAGTTATAAAACCTGGCCCTAACACAAATCTAACTAGCGCTAAATATATATGGAACTAAAACTTAATGATAACATTAAACTAATGTAAAACAAGCAAACCCATAGGAAATATTCTTTGGAGCATTGAATGAAAAAACAAGGAAGCTGGACACCAATCTGGGTCTGCATGGTAAACTGATACTTGTGCCGGCTACAAACATGTCCACAGTAAAAACAGAGGCACCACCTGAGATTAGGAAAGATGTCACAGCTGTTACTATCCGCCTGGCGTGTCCTAAAAAAACACCTGCCTAATATGAGATTCTTATATCAACATATGTACAAAGTCTACTGTTTGAATATACACTGTATGTATATATTAATCGAGAGGAACTGGATCAAATGTTACAAATGAAATCAAATCTAATTGAACCTGAAGGGGCATGGAATAAAAAAGACTTTGAGCCAACTAACTTAGCTTTTGATGAATGAAGCCCTGAATCTTTTTCTAACTTGACTCTTATTCTCTCCTGGTTTCCCCAGACGCCCCCCTGGAGCTGCCCTCCTTCCAGCTGACCCCCTCCCAGCGCCAGGTGGTGTTTCAGGGGGACAGCCTTCCCTTCCAGTGCCAGGCCTCCTTCGTGGCCGAGGACATGCAGGTGCTGTGGTACCAGAACGGCCGCATGGTCAAACAAGACGCCGCGCAGGGCATCTTCATCGAGAAGCACATGGTGCAGAACTGCTCTCTCATCGCCAGGTACGGCAGCGTCTGTAGTCTCAGGCCTTTTGAAGAGGAAATGGGACAAAATGGTTATCTCAAATGTTTTCTAATTTCTTGTCTCCCCTCAGTGCGTTGACCATCTCCAACATCCAGCCGGGGTTCACTGGGAACTGGGAGTGCCGGGTCAGGACGAGCAGAGGCAATACCACCAGGACGGTCCACATCGTGGTGCTGGAGAGTTCTGCAGAGTACTGCGCTCCTGAACGCATCTCCAACAACAAGGGAGAGTTCAAGTGAGTTTCCCCCGACATGGAGTATACAACAAGCAGAACAGGGCTACTGACTTATACTTAAGTTTATTGGATACATTAAAATCTTAGGTTATTTTTTCTAAATGAGACGATTAAAAGAGGCACTGTTACTGAGTTTAAGCTGGTCAAGTAATTAGAAAGTAACTGTTTTTATTGTGAACATACAATTGAATTACAATTGAATTAAACACAATGTTTTTGCGAAAAGGTCAGATGTTAAAAAAAATCTCAAATCAGTGCATCTGCAATAAGAAATATGTTGCTTATAACACGCAGGCATCAGTGTGTGTTTGTCAGTTAATCTAAAAATGAAAATGCAATCTAAACTGGTAAATATGCAGTAAAACATTTGTAGATAGCTCTGTGGCGCCCCCCTGTGGTAAAACATAGACATGACTTCAAGGCTTGAGCCATAATGAGCACATGACTGTTGATGTTATTACACAAAGTCAGTAAAACATAGGGACGCTTCATATACAGGTTGATGGAACATGTTTTTGTTCTGCTCCCTGCAGGTGGCCTCGCACTCTGGCGGGGATCAGAGCGTACCTGCCCTGCAACAGACTGCCGTCGAGCGCCGGAACGTACTCGGGCAGCTCGGGTGAGGAGCAGAAAGCGTGGAGATACTGCGACCACAAAGGGCTGTGGACGGAGGAGGACTACTCCCGCTGCCAGTTCCAGAAGGACGTCACCAGATTTCTGTTCGTCATCAACCAGGTCTGAGAAACTGTTATGTTCTGCTCTGTAACCTCATTCACTGTATCCTCTTTCCCCAACAGTTTTGATCAAAATGAATTCACTAGATTCAAACAGTTCAAATACAGCATAACATTCAGAATCTGGTTTACATGCTTTTTTTTTTACTTTAAAATATAATCAAACCTTTAAAGAAACTTGCTGTAATCCATCCTAATAGGGTTCATTTGTACTAACAGACAAACTATCTCCCTCTGCCTTCCTGCAAGAAGGCTCCAAAACAGTAGAACTGCAAACAAATCTTATTATTCAGAGTCCAGTAAATTGGCATTTATCTTTATGATGTTGTTTTTTTCTTTTTCTTAACTATACATCTTTAAAACATATTTAAATAATGATATTAATATAACATATCTTCCTTCCACAAACCCAAGTTTTTTTAAAAGGAATATCTTAAGAATCAAGAATAGGGCAAACTAATCTATTCTCTATCCATCCAGTCCATTTATTTATTTATTTTTTTGATGCTTTTTACATATTCAAAAAAGTTTCTCATCGTTTCCGTTTGTCCCTTTTTTGCTAATGGAGAAGATTAGTTATTTGATAGTGAACTCTCCCTCTCTGTGTCTTGTTTCCAGATGCCTCTGAATGAGAGCAACGTGGTTGCCCGGGCTCGCCGCCTGCTCGTCTACACCGTCGAGGCCGCCAACTTCTCCGACAAGATGGACATCATCTTCGTGGCGGACATGATCGAGAAGTTTGGCAAGTTTGTCGAGAAGTTTAAAGATGTAAGTGCTGCTCTTAACTTTTTTTCATGAGCTTATGTTGGCGGAAGAATGTGAAGCTTGTCCTTGTTCAAAGATAAATAGATGAATGCTCAACAGCTGTTTCTTATCATGTTTAATGAGAGGTGTTGTCTCGACTTGGGCACAGCTGTAGGCTGGCAAAAGGAACAGTTTTCAAAGTGAAGCAGCTCCGAGCACTAAAAAGCAGTTTAAAAGTTTAGTTTGTCGCTTCTATGCTTAAAATGTGTTCCTAATCGTCACCTAGCGAGTCAAGTAAGGCCCTAAGTCAACACAGCATGTGTTTATGGCCGTTTGATACAAACAAGATGCTGAACATGTTCGAATCTTATGTCTTTTAGAAAAGCTGCTGCTGAAGGAAACATTTAAAAACACAACCTTACAAAGCAGGTTAAGCACAGGAGCTATTCTAAATGACGACAATACTAATTTGGATATGGTACGACTCATAAATGACATTTCACGTCAACAACCAATGTTCATTCCCTCATGTCAAAATGTTTCCCTCTCTCAGCTGGGCGAGGTGATGATCAGCATGGCCTCCAACCTGATGCTGGCTGATGAGCGCGTGCTGTGGATGGCTCAGCGTGAAGCCTCAGCGTGTTCTCGCATCATCGCCTGCCTGCAGAAGATCGCCGTCTACCGCCTGGCCACGACACAGGCCTTCTCCCTGGTTAGTCCTCCTAATATCTGCCTTTAGCTTTAGAGGGACACATGAGCAAGACCCCTAAACTGAAAAACATGCAACACATGTCTCTGTGTCTTTGGATCAGGCTCTCTTTCTAGTTTTTCTACGTATTTTCTTTATCTTTTGCATCTCTTGACAGTATGTCTGTGTTTCACTTTTTTCTTTGCTTTGTGATCGTTTGCATGTCCATGTGTTTGTTTCTTTGTATCTTTGTAGTCATTATGTGTCTCATTGTAGTCAAAACTGCAGCTACAAATCCTGTTTAATGAGGAAGAAGAGAGGCTATCTGTCTTCCTGTCTTTAAATGAAATGTTATTTGGCTTCAGTATGCTGTGCAGCTGTAATCTGAAGGGAAAAGTGTATATATATATATATCTCTGGTCGGCAGATACTCAATATTAAAGACTTTGCCTGCATTGTGCAATTTAAGTATGACCTGTATGTCATGCTGCACTATTAAAATGTTGTTGTAAAATCCTTAGTCCAATGTTGTTGTTGTTGTTGTCCTTCCAGACCTCCCCCAACATCGCGCTGGAGGCTCACGCTGTCAGGGCGGCAGACTGGAACGGGATGACCTGCATGTTGTTCCAGAGGCCGAGCCCGGAGCGCTCGCCGGGGGGGGATCGCCAGCTCACCTTCAAATGCAACACCACCAGCTCCTTCTCCAGCATCCTGCACAAGGTCAGCTCCATACAAAATGAAATTCTTTGATGTTTAACACAACAAACAAGTAAGAACCTAACCGTTTCATGTGTTTTGTCCCTGTAGAGCACCATAGTGGAGGCCTCCCTGCAGCTTCCTCAGGCCCTCTTCACCCCCACTGCGCTCCCCGGGCACCCTGAGGACACCGTCTACAAGCTCCACCTCCTGGCCTTCCGCAACGGCAAGTTCTTCCCTTCCACCAGCAACTCCTCCCAGCTAGCTGACGGGGGGAAGAGGAGGAGTGTGGCCACCCCCGTCATCATGGCCAAGATTGGTGAGTAATCTGACTAATTCAAATCCTTTTTTCCCACAGCACACGACAACTTGACATCAGTTATCTTGACATCAGTTCTGATTACTCTGCCTGTTTCCCATCAGACGGCATGTCCCTGCGTGTGCTGAGGTCTCCCGTGAACATCACCCTGCGGCGGTTTGCCCGCGGCTCAGACGCCGTGTCCGCCTGCTGGAACTTCAGCCTGGTTGGGGGGCAGGGAGGGTGGCAGAGCGACGGCTGCCGCATCCTGGATCATCACGACAACTTCACCACCATATCCTGCAACTCTCTGGGAAACTACGCACTGCTGATGGTGGGTTGCTCTTCGTTGTATGACAATGACAGCAACCTTTGTCCGTGTATCAGCATTGGACACTTTGTAGTAACCTGTAGTGGCTTGGAGTGCCAATATTACCTAAACCTGAGGATGTATCCCCCCCCTCTGTCATGCAGGACCTCAGCAGTGTGGAGTTTTTCTCTCCCAGCATCCGGCCCCTGCACCCTGTCATCTACGCCACAACCATCATACTCCTGATCTGCCTGCTCACCATTACCATCAGCTACATCTACCATCACAGGTGAGACCTCATCATGTGTGTCTGTCATTCATTGGTTGTCCTTTATCTTGAAACCCTGCAGGATTTGGCTTTGGAGAGATTTTCTGCTACCATTTGAATCATTTACCAATGCACGAGACGAATGCATTTGAACTTCTCATTGGTTGTCATATTCAGATGATTGTAAAATATATTGTCTACGTGAACAGGTGTCACATCCGTAATAAAGAAATGCTAACTGTGTTTTGTTTCTCTGACCCCAGGTCTGTCCGTGTGAGCCGCAAGTTTTGGCACATGCTGGTCAACCTCTGCTTCCACATCTGCCTCACCTACGGGGTCTTTGTCGGGGGAATAAATCAGACGCGTTATGCAAGCGTGTGCCAGGCAGTGAGTATACTCCTCAGACACAAAAAAGAACAAGTGCTTTTGTTGTTTTGCCTTTGGCTAAGTTCACTCTGCTCATAAAAAAAGTTGTGGAAACTCAGTAAAAGATGCATCGAAGGGTACAGTAGATAGTTTCCATGTCCGTGGGTGATCCCTTATGGTGCGAAACACATTACTTATTCCGTGTTCATTGCAACAAGTACCTGGATGAAAGATTTTTTAGCAGAGAACGTTTTGTTTATTTATGTAATCCCCTCTGGCATACAGATATCTCACAAATAGACTTTTCAGCTCAGGCTGGTAATGACACGCTCAATAGGAAATAGCTCAATGATCAACGTGCCATTTAAAATACTGATGCACTGCCCATCATTCTTATTTGTATTGGGGAAATGTAACTAACAGCTGCATTCTGACATTGGAGAATACTTGCATTTATCTCCATTAAATCTTATGTTTATATTTATGCCCTCTTTTCTAGGTTGGGATCTTGCTGCATTACTCCACTCTGGCCACCGCTCTGTGGGTGGGGGTGACGGCACGCAACATTTACAAACAGGTGACCCGAAAGGCCAAGCGCTACGAAGAGCTGGACGAACCTCCACCACCACCACGGCCAATGCTGAGGTACGAGACATTACAGATAGGTGGACAAAGTTAACACATAGGTTTTATTTGAACTTGGATGAGATTACTTGTGGTCCTCCCAATGTCAGCCTTTACTAACAATTTAAAATGGCCTGTCTTTTTTTAGCTGATCTTAAAAGCAGACATTTTAAACAACACTTTATAGAATGCCTCAAAAATAATGCTTTTTATTTAACAGGAAAAATGCGTTCATCAGGAAAGGCTGTGTCTTATTGTGAAATGATATTTTAGGTTTCCTTACTCAAAATCAGAATACCTTTGTTAGTCCCACAGAGGGGGCATTTACATTGTTCCAGCAGAAAAGAGCCAAAGATAGCTTAATGCTACCTAAGAAGCATGCATAAAAAAGTATTAAAGATAAGACAAATTACAATAAATATTAAAAAACAAAGTGGTCCTGTTTGTTGGTGGATCTGCCACACGGTGTCAGTGTAGAGACTATGTCCAGTAAAGCTGTCGTCCTCCAAACACAAAGACTAACTAACCAATCTCTCTGCTCTCTAATAGGTTCTACTTAATCGGCGGAGGGATACCCATCATTGTCTGTGGAATCACTGCAGCAGCAAACATCAAGAACTACGGCAGCCGGACCAATGCCCAATAGTAAGTAGTCCCTGTATGAAAAGCAATTAAAGTTCCTTCATGTCTGTGCTCCTGCGATGTTTCAAATGAAGCCTCCAGCCCCAGGAGATGCTTTACACTCTCCTCAGGAGGATCTGGCTTTAGTTATCGACCGGCCAGGCTGCGTTGCTTTGGTAAATAATGGATATTTTTATAAGGGTATGAAAAGTTTATTCCCTGATGTTCTGATTATGGAGGCCTATTAATGGTAATGTGCATCCAAGCATCAACAACTGCAGCGAGTTTACAGCGCTCCTACAGAAGCAGCTGTTTACATGTTTAGTGATGGTGGATGGCTAATTGAGAAATCTGCTGCCGTGTCGTCGGAAGTCTTTGGAGTTTAAGTAATTTCTTTCAATTAAGACAAATCCAGCCTGGGTTATTAAATGTAATTGGACAGTGGCTGGACAAAACACCACGCAAAAATGTTTCAAAGAGTTTGAGAAGTAAATAATGATGGTGGCAGATTTAAGATGAGGAGATGTGGTATTGTTTTAATGAGCACGATCGGCAAGTTTACTTTTAAGAGGTGCTGTATAACATTTAATAACTATTAAAATGTAGTACATACTTCCCTAAAGGCCTCTGGTGTCAGTTGGGATGTACTTTTTCCAACTTTGGTGTGTTCATGTGTAAACAACATGGACACAAAAAACATTTGTTGGAGTGTTTTAAACAGCATTTTGATATCTCAGTTTCTCAGTTCTGACTTTACGGTTTCCCAATCAGGAACTCGTTGTAGCACAAATGCCCTTATGTTTTGTTAAGAGAAGTAAAACAATTTCGCCGCCACATTATTTGAATTGGCTCCAAACATTGAATAGGTTGAGGTTCCTTGGCACATACTGCAACCTTCCACCAAGTTCCATATAAAACTCTCAAAGAGTATCAAACGCCACACCTATTCTCTTCCTGTAAATGAGATGTCTGATTGTCCGTCTCCTCTCTAGTTGCTGGATGGCCTGGGAGCCCAGTATCGGGGCTTTTTACGGCCCTGTGGGATTCATCATCTTCGTGGACTGCATGTACTTCCTCAGCATCCTCCTGCAGCTGCGCCGCCACCCTGAGCGCCGCTACGAGTTCAAGGAGCTGACAGACGAGCAGCAGCACCTGGTTCTAGTCCACAGCGAGGGGGGGGGCGATGCTCCCAGCAGCCACTGCCACCCCCTCACTCTGCAACTGCAGCCAGAGGGATCCTCCTCTGTGGGCTCCGCTCCGCACTCGGTGCCACTGTCGGCGCTGGAGAACGAGCACACCTTCGCCGCTCAGCTGATGGGGGCGGTGGGGGCGCTGGGGCTGTACGCCGCCCTCTGGGTGTTCGGGGCCATGGCCGTCTCGCAGGAGCACCCCTTCGACTTGGCCTTCACCTGCCTCTACGGGGTGGCTGCGCTGGCTCTGGGGGCCTTCATGGTGGCCCATCACTGTGTCAACAGACAGGATATGAGGCGCTACTGGTCCCAGGCCTGTTGCTCGGGGAGACGGGCCTACTCTGCCCAGGAGGACGTGCTCCTGCCTCAGCCGGGCGTAGCCATGACGTCGACAGCAGGGTCAGTGAGCAAAGCAGACGGGGAGTCGACGCGGTGCGGCCAGAGCAGCGCAGACTCCTCTTACACCAATAAAAGCGCCCCCAGCGTGCGTAACTCCGCCCACGGCAGCAAGCTGACCAATCTGCACGCAGAGGCGGCGCAGTGTAAGACCGCCTCGGCACCGGTGACCGCCAACGGTGCAGCTGTTTTGGACAACAGCCTGACGGAACATTCTATAGACAATGAAATAAAAATGCACGTGGCTCCGCTGGAGGTGCAGTTCCGCCCGATGAACATCAACAACAATCCGGCGGCGCTTCCCAACGGACACGTGGGCAGGCATCACAAAAACAGAGCGCGGGCGCACAGGGCCAGCCGGCTGACGGTGCTGCGGGAGTACGCCTACGACGTGCCCACCAGCGTGGAAGGCAGCGTGCAGAGCGCCAATCACAGGCGCCACCATCATTACGACGTAGCGGCGCGCAACAGTCGCCGCGCGGCCTACATGGCGTACAGGGAGCGCCACCAGAGCCAGCAGCAGCACGACAGCAGCGACAGCGCCAGCCTGCCGCGCCGCCCCCGCCACGCAGACAAGGGTGGGGGCGGCACGCTGGGGAACGGGACGGTGGTGACGGTGGAGAAGGAGCAGGTCGCTGCTGATGCTGCTGCGGGGTCCGACGCCAGTAAAGACTCTGACCCTGTCCCGCAGCCCGACACTGAACTAGAGACACAGCCCAAATCTTACGGGTTGAACCTCATCACTCAGAACGGTGGAACACTCAAAGAAAACGGACAGCTTGTGCCTTTACTAACCACAGAGAGTGCAGCCAGTATAAAGACCGGCCTGTGGAAACATGAAACTACTGTGTAGCGACAGTTTCCGTACCCAAAGACTGCATCGCCTTTAAACTGTGAAATGCTTTTGTTTTTTTCTATTGTACATTTATTTGATCAAATCATTACTGCCACTGAACTATCTCTGTAGATATGTTTTTTTTGTAAATGGTCTATTTTTATAACTTTAATCCCAACCTTGTTGTTCTAAGAGTTGTGTAATTGAAACTGCATACCCTTACCCCCGGGGATTTATTTTCCATTTAATAGTTTGCCCCAACAATAATAAAACAAAAGTGTTGTACACCTAATTGAACGTTTTTGTTCCTGTGATCTCCTCTCTCTGCAGCCGGTGCAAAGGTGAGCCAGAGCTGTTTTCTTTCCAAGAATTACTCGTGCTGACAGAATATGACAAGTTGGTAATTGGGTTTCTCGCTGACCTTCAGGTGGCCTCAGCCCCCCCCCCCCCCACACACACAGCGGGCCTTCTTTAATTGCAGCTAGCTTCAAGCATAGAGGTGCATCTCCTGACTGCTGGCAGACTGGATGAGTGCAGTACGTCCTGAACTCCCGCTGACTCGATGCCCGCGGTGTGATTGACAGCTGACTCGCAAAGCAGCCGCCAGGAGAAGACAGAATAATGAGAGGAGTGCAGCTTGTTCCCTTCACCTCCCCCCCCCCTTCCTACACAGTCCCAGGCAGAGAGCATATAACTGACACAAAGTATGGTGTTTATGCTGAGTATTTATATTATACAATAACTTGAATGTATCTGACATGGTGGTTGTCTGACAGTAAATGTGTTCTCTGCTTCTTACGCTTTAAGAGTACAGCAAGGGGGATATGTGACGATAGGTTCCAACGCCTCTTCTATATAGCAGCAAGACACAGACTTAAAGATCGTTTTTTGTCTCACTTAAGTTGCTTCTTGTCTCTTGTGGTCGTTTTGCCCCTCTCATAGTCCTTGTGAGTCTCATTTGCATTTATTTGTAGTTCTCTTTGCTAAAGCATCCATGTTGTGCTGAAAGGTGTACTCACCACAATTAACTTCAATACAAATACAACTATAAACCTTCGTGCTTACCAACATTAATCGGGCTAAGGACGACAGTCTTTGGGGTAGTAAAGCTATTTTCAGAAAGTCAATGTCACACTGTTGGATTGAAAACCGTTTCCAATGCTTTAATATTATTATTCAATAAGGCAATCACTTCTTATTAAACGTGATATTCATGTCTTCTCACAGCATGCCACTAACTCTTTTTTTTTAAGGTTGTGCTGCAAAAATGTTCCCGCTATTATCCCGCTGATCACTCCCACAGCAGAGGGAGCACAGCTCAGATTTTTCATTTATGGCCTATTAATAAAACAAAGATATATTGCCCAGCCAACTTGGATGTGACAAATTATAATAAGACTTCTGAATTATGTAGAGAGCAGTTATGCCGTGATTCGTCGCAGCCTCGCACATTTCCTCCAGGCATGAAAGAGTGATCTTCAAATAATTGCCAAGGTTCTTTAACACTGCCGTCGGTTATAGAGTTCATCTTCGGCTGTCAGCGAGGTGGGAATGACAATGGGACGATGTTTGGGGGAAAAGCTAATTAAAGCACTGATCGCATCTCTGCTTTAAGATCACAGGGACACCTTGGGCGGAAATCCATAATAAATTAAGATAAAACAAATGGAGTCATTAAGATCTTTTCTTAGTCTCATTCAGAAGTCTTAGGGTCAGATGCCAGAAATAGCACATCAGAGTATCCTAATTGTAAACGGTCTATTTTCAGGAACAGCGATGACTCGTCTTTTCCAGCCAGTTTCCACTTAGTGTGCGCTGTGGAGTGTATCTGAGCTGCGTGCCTCATCAGGAGGACGACCAGCGGCAGACAGCTGATGTCTGTTTACATTTCAGCTGCTCGTCCCCCTGCAGCAGCATCTGCCTCTGCTGTGGAAACCTGCCTCTGCAATGAAGATTGATACTTTTCAGAGAGTGAAGCCATCTGATTGTAATTAGCTGGCTGTGGCTGTCCAGGGGAGCCACAAATACTTCCTGCAGTGTGATCATCTACCCAAAAACCCTCAGAGGCCGGTAGTAAAGATTAAAGCAATAATTAGCACACAGGGTTTGTGATGATCGCTGCCGCTGTCCAACAGCTGTCTGCTGAGATAACTGCTGAATTGATGTTGTTGTTTTCTTTGAGCAGATATTTGGAAATCATCAGTATGTAAGTTGTGTTTAAGCGAAGGTCAGGGCTTTTTGTAAGTGTTTGCATTTCAGCACTTAGTCATTCAACTCACACTTAATAACACATCATACTGCCCACCTTATCTCAGACAAATGTATTGCGTCACATTACATCCATACAATTATTAGTTGCTAGTTTTTTTTCATCATGAATATTTCATACTTGCACATAATTTCTTCAAAAATAGCTGATTCACTGTCTGCAGATTATGCAAGGCCAACTTGGTTTTCTGCTGATAATCCAAAACAGGCGTAGACATTTCCCTGTCCATGTTATTTATGGTTGAAGTGGGAAGCATGAGTGACTACAATTAATAATGAAGGAAGATTATTTTAAAGAGAAACTGTGCTATATAGCTGGTGTTTTCAGGAAGTGAACTTACTGTTTATTCAACAGATAAAGGTGTCAGAAGAAGCTATAAGTGCCATTTTAAATATTCTGCCAGTCAACAATTTAAGAATAAAACTCCACATCTCGTCCTGTCAAATCACAATGCAAATTCCATGTTCCACCTCATGATTGAGTCTTCTATATACTGTGGCACAGTAGTTCTCCTGGAATGTGTGGGATGAACATATTATATTAAGTCCCTAGCTTTGTGTTAAGATCAATTGAAGTGACATAATTCCAATATATACGGTATTCTCATTAATCACAATGCAGAGTCCTTGTGTGCAAACCAAAATATATCATGATTCAACTTTGGGCACCATCAGAGAGCAGGGCAGAAATAGATGCAAGAGTTCTCGAGGGAAGGGGCTTCTGATGCTTCAATATCATTAAAGTAGTTTGAATGTGTGTGTGGACTCATAGTTTTCCCAAAATGAGTCCAAATGAAAAAAAATTAGACGACCTCTTCTTTAATTACATGTCAATTAGTCAAAGAATCAAATACAAGTGGTCAAATGTGTTTCTGTTTTTAACTTTTTTATCTTAAAGGTCCCGTATTATACTCTTTTTCAACAATATATTATAGGTCTCAGATATATACAAAACATGCCTTTAAAGTGTTTGGCTCGAAATACAAAACAGATCATGCATTGTAGCATCCCATAAACCCCTCTGTTTCAGCCCTGTTCCAAAAGTGCTGATTCTGTGTAGCTTTAAATGCTAATGAGCTACTGCTGGCCATGCCCCTCTGAGAGATGATTGGTTTGAAAAGAAAAAAACACAATGATGCTCTAGGAAGAGATTCAGGTGATAAGGTAGGCGGGTGTTACCTTGGTTGGTTATTGGATAATGGTTGCACAACCAAAAAAACATTGTGACATCACAAAGTGGTCAAAATCTGATCAGCTCATTTTCAGACAGGTTTTTATATAAATGGATCTGGACAAAAAGAGAGCCAATCTCTTGTCCTGAAACTTTCCGAATCTCTTAAAAACCGAGGGGACACATATATGTATAAAAGGCATGAAAAAGTGGATTTTGCAGAATAGGGGACCTTTAATTGTTCTCTAAATTCTTACTATAATTATGAGGGGAAATTAGGTTCTTAGTGCAATTTTTTACAGATCATATTTTCGGCGTCACACATACTGACATTGCCCTCTAATGATGACATCAAGCCCTCTGCGTTGGTGGACCTGTGCTCTCATTAATGGCCTCGCTCTGCCATTCATCTACCTGTGCCAGACAGTGTCGGAGCTCATGTTGGCCCCATCTTTCTGTCCAGGTGCTCTGTTATTTATAGCCGCCTCAAAAACAGCATCACTCATTGTTCATGGTGACAGATTAAGACAGTGTCGCTCTCGCTCACACACACACTAAGTTATTAAAGTTTGTCCCCTGGATTACATTTGTCTTGTGGACATGCTGTAGGGATTGTAATGATGCTTTACATGTGCGGATCCGAAGAGATTTCCAAATATTGAACAGAGACATTTTCAAAGACTTATTTGTGTTAATGAGGAGGGGACCTTTAATGATCATCACAACATGAGAGAGAGAGTTGGCTAGCTTAGCGTAACAACTAGCATTGGATTACACAAATCAAATAATGTAATAATTCCAAGGTTTCCAGCATACTCCAAAGCAGATTTGGTAGTTGCACTAAGCAAGGCTAGCTGTTGCTGGCCATGCATTTAAAGAGATACTCTTAAATCTATATTGATCTTCCCATCAAGCTAACATAGCTTAGTTTACATAGGCTATGCTAATGTTAGCAAACTTTACCTAGATATCCCTCTGTTCATTGAGCAAACTTTATTGCTCCACATTACTTGTACTACTGTAACACAATAGCACTTATTATGAGCATTTACTGAAGTGAAGTAGTCTTACTTTAATAATCTTAAAATACATTTTTAAAGATATGATTAAACACTTTGAATAAAAAGACAATGCATGAGGCAAACTGCAGTTATATGCAGCTTTCACCTCCACCAACACATGTATCATTGAGTTCTTAAAGCTCCTGTTTTCTATAATACATCTTCTGAAACCCCCGATTTCAGGACACTGGAACTTTGCTTTTAATTTGCTGCATGTAATTCATGTATATTCCAGAAATAAATGTGTCTAAAAATATTCTCTACACTGTGGTTTGAGTTGCCTGTTCTAACGTGCACATCAAAACTGTTCAGGGAAGAAGAAGATGTTTTTGAGAAGTGTCAGCAATTTCTCATAACAGTAAATGGCCTTCTGTTTGATGATTTGTCATAAGCTGTCTATGGTGTTTAAATGTGTGTTTTACAGAGACAGAAAACTCTACCCTTTGTGGTATTCTTGAGATAGTTGAACAATCCTTTGTGTTGTTAAAATCTTTAGACTGTTGTCTAAAGCAGGTCTTATTGGAAGATGAAAAATCACTGTACACTGTTGTTTCAGACACAAGACTCTCCATTCCAGGATCAGGAGGTATATCACATCACTTTGTTAGATGTTGGTGTGATGCTAAACTAAATTGTATTGAAACACTCTCTGTAATTCAATAGTCTGATCTATATAGTTTGTTTTAACAGAACATTACACTGTGACAATTCTAAGAGCATTTAACAATATACTATGACATCTGCACACATGATGTATAGATCTGAGACATGCTCTAATGTGACAATT